TCTGGTTCAAACCCGAAGCTTTAGCAGCTTCCTTGCTGCAGATATGAAGCCTGGATGGAGCTGCCCCTACAACAGCATGTGAGGCTGCTGACATTCTCCTCTCCTGTGGCCATCAGCACCCAGCTAAGGCTGCAGCGAACTGTGAGATGATGGGAAGCACCTGTTGTGCCCAGATATCAAGGGAGTTCCATGCAGTGCCATCAGCATATCCAACGCTGGGGACCACAGCTGAGGATGTGCATCTCTCCTCATTTCTGCCAGGCAGTCACTGGTGCTCCCTCAGCCCCAGCTGCTCTGTGCAGTTAATCCTCCGCAGTCAGGATTTTCAGAGTGGCACCATGTTATTAAAACGTGTGAAAAACTTCTCCCATGCAGAAATAAACGTGTCAGGTTGGAAACAAGGGCGAGTGGAGGATGAAACTATGTGGAGGAGGCACAGGCATGCAGGGTCCCTCCCCAGCAGCAGCGTTTCTGCCATTGCGTTGAGCTGAACTGCATAAAATAACTTACAGTTTAATTACAGGGGCTCCTGCTTGTTGGTGTCATTAATGAGGCAACTGGCTTAATTTAGCTGAATAAAAATTGCTTTAATAGTGGAAACACTTTTGGCTGCTGGCTAATTGAGGGGAAAAAAACCCCATGCTGTCCCCTCTTCACTGAAGTGCCCTTGTTCTGGGCCACACAGATCCAGACTCCTCTTTGTCCCACATCCACACATCCCCTTTTAAACCCAAGAGCTTGTTCAGGAGATGTACCTCCATGGTCCCATCTGTCACTTGTGCTGGGACAAAATGGCAAAGGTCACCTCCCCTTCCCTGCTGGTCACTAGCAAGTGCCTGCAGGAGCTGTGGGAGAGTGTGCAGGACATGGCATGTCCCTTCCTGAAATGTAGGAGAAGGATGAAGGGAGAGAGCAAGAACTAGGATTTAGCTGTCACTCAGTGGTAGCAGCCTGTGTCTGAGGTGTGGGAGGGTTGCTGTTGGAGAAGGATGGTGGGGATAGGGCATGATGAGCCACCTGCAAAGCAGGAGCCTTAGGGGCACGGTTGCTGCAGCAGGAAGATTGTGGAGTGGTGTTGGGTCTGAGTCATGGGTGGGATAGGTGGTTGCTGCCCTGGACCTGGTCTGAGGGCCATCCAACACCTTTTCCCTCCCCAACGCCTTTAAAACTTGCTCTGGAGGCAAAAAAGACCCTGGCAGCTATTTATAAAGACTATCTCAGTGGAAAAGAGCATCTTGTGAGTGATGGAGAAAATGTCCCATGGCAAAGAAGCAGTTTGAATATGTTCCAGGAGCACTGATGGCAGGTCTGTCCTGAGAGAGACTTGTTCATCATTGAGAAATACGCAGGGAAGGCATTTTACTTCCCTCTGCCTGTGTTTCCTTGACGTGTGATATGCCATATTTTATTACAGGTGGAGCTGGTGCATAGGCTGTTATAAAGGTTGTCTGGCACACTTTGCTGCAGGACTGCTTCCACTTTCCTATAACTCTGCCAAATTTTAATTGCTCAGACTGAAGTTTTCTGTGTTGTGTGTCTGCTCCTGGCTGAATTCTACATTTTATTGTTATTTCTTTCTAGTTTCACATAAGAACTTTCTCAAATGCTTGAGGTGGAGGAAAGGAGGGGGGAAAACAAGCTGTTTTGCTCAAACTAGAAAATACTGGTGATGCTCCTGTTGCAGAGCAACTGCATCCTCCTTTTGTGGAGGGGAAGAAAGTTTGTCAAAGGGCAGATTTTGCTTGGAAGACTTGATTTTGCTCTGGGACATCTTATGTCAGCAGAATGGGTTTTGATCCAGCTGGAGGAAGAAGTTTAATAAAGGATGTTTGGGAGCAGATAGGGCAGAGGAGCAACAATTCTTGTTGGACACTGGGGCTGGGCTGGAAGGATGTAAAAGTATGGAAGATCGTAGGAAATTTGGACATGGGTAAGGAAATTGAGGCTGAGAAATATTTGGGAGTGGTTGGAGAGCAATGAATAGTGTGATTCAGCCTGCTGGGAGGGGGAAGCAATGGGGTCAGGAAGGAGAGAGCTGGCACTGCCCAACCATGGCACAGGAGGATGGGGGTTCTTGTCACTGCAAACAAGAGAGATTTGGAGGTGGCCACAGACCTTCAGTCTTGGAAACAGCTGCCAAAAGGCAGAATGGGCAACTGGAACTGGGAGAGAACTAGCCCTGGCTGAAAGTGCCTTGATTTTCCCCAATCCTCCCTGTTTATGTTGTACAGGACACTGGGAAACTTGGTGCAGCTGAGGTTTGAGCACAAACAGGATTTACAAAGTGCTGGAGCTCAAAGTTTCACCTGTAGAGCTGTAATTTAGTCTCCTCCTGTGAATGTACTGTGATTCCATCTCTAATTACAGAATCACATGCTACCTTCCCTATGAAACCTGCCCCATCCAGCACGTGGGATTGATCTCTTCTGGGGAGAAATCAGTGCTGTGCTATGAGGTTTCTCTGGAGGAGCTCTATCTTTTGCAACAAAAGTCAGTAGCTGTACCTTCGTGGAATCCCAATCCTGGCATCTCTGACCTTTGGAGTTTTTGTGATTGAAATGATGTATTTTTAATGTGTGTTTGTGTGCAACTCCTTTCTGTTTCTGTGCTGAGATCTGTCTCTGAGGCTGAGGAAGGACCTTTCTGACATTTTGAATGTCCAGGGTGTCTGTTTCCAATGATAAACATGTTCCTCCCCATGTGTGTCCTGACTGATCTGAAATCAGCTGTGGGTGTGTGTGCCCTGACCAGCCCTGTGTAAGTTGATGGTCAGGTCAGATTGAACAGCAGCTTTGCCATTTGAGAGCAGAGTCTCCTGCCAGATGTGTGCAAGGGAAGACCAGTCTCCTCTTTGCCTAATGTTGTTGCGGGTTGTTGTCTGGGGGAGGGAAGAGGTGGTAAGAGTTGCTTTCCAAGGACTGCAGGAGATGAGAAGCGGAGCACATCTGCCTGGCAAAGCTCCTTGCATTAGTGAGGTTGCATCCTTTCTCCATCTCTCTGTGTCCTAAATTGTAATAACACGATCATGCTATTTTTGATTCCCTTATTTGCGTGGAAAGCCTGTTGTTTTTTCTCTTCTCTTTCAGAATCCAATTTTCTCTTGACATTTCTGCCTAATGTAGCAAAACATGACCTTTGAGAAAGGACATTCCAGTGAGATTCACTCCCTCCTCTGCATCTCTGCCTCTCTCCCACATCTTGCTGTCTCTCATGCATCCCCTTTACGCTTCCTTCTTCTCCCTAGGCTGGGGGAGGGAGTTTACTGTCTCACTTTTCAGTAACAGTGAGCTGCTCCTTCCCCTCCTACTTTTCATCTGTCCTCGCAAAGTTTCCAGGTGCTCAGTGCTCTGGGGTGGATAAGAGATGGAGTCTTGTAATATTTTTACTCTTCTCTGCTTAGCTTCACCTGCAATTTTTGCCACCTTTATCAGAGGCTGGAAGCAGTTTGTCTACAGCCATAGGAATGGTGGGATCATAGTCATGTGAAATAAGGTACCTGTGGTTTGCCATGGTTTCCGCAGCGGGGTAGTCTGATGTGAAGCAGAGACAGAATTTAATGAGGCAGCACTGTGCCATCATGGTAGTTGGGATTATTCTTCTGCCAGGCTCGTGGAGAGCCTTTGGGACGATGCTTTGCTGTGTGAGCAGCTTCCCCACTCCTAATTGCAGACTTCTGGGCTTCACAGCATTGCTTGTGCAGGTGGGACAGGACAGAATTGCTTTTCCCTTGCTGCAACCTGGTGTAAGGCAGCAAATAAATCTGTCATCCCAAATCCTCGTGCATCAGACCTATACCAGCAGGAGCCATTAAAGGGTTTGCTCTCTCGGTTTTAGCATGTTTCTGCAAATTAAACAGGGACTGGGTCGGGCAGAGCTGGGCCGTCCACTGTCACTGCTGTGCCACCTTGCCTCATACCTCCTGCCTGGCCAACCCAGAGTTGAATGAACCTCCAGGTGTTTCGTGCCTCTGGCCTTTCCTCGCTCTTCCCAGCAGGCAGGGCTGAGGCAGAAGGGTGCCTGCAGCCTTGCGCTGAGCTGCCCTGCCTGCAGCTCAGAGTGGGGATGGATTTGGTGAAGGATGTGAGGCAGCACCTCCTGTGTGTTCTGGAGGCCAGCAGAGATTGGAACATTGGTTTTCTCCCAGAGCTTGCAACTGCCCATCTCTCTGCTTCCCCCATGGACTGGTCAGTCAGTTAGGGGCTCTCAGGCTGGCTGAGTGTCCCTGGGAAGGCTGCTCACTACAGAATGTGCTTTATTGCCATCTTCTTATGCTGTTGGAAACCCAGTGCTTTCCTCTTTCTGCTTTTCTACCCCACATTTCTTTCTTTTTTTTTTTTTTTTTTTTTTTAATTAATTCAGTTGCTTTTCACTCTTTCATCCTCTCTGGCTTTCAGCTGAAGAGATGTCTACTGGGTTGCAAAGCTCTCCCAGGTAGATGAGATTTATGTTTTTGCAAGTTTGGGCAGATGGAGAGAGGGATGGGGAGCTGTTGGCTGCTGTAGCAGTGGTACCCCTGGGTGCAAGAAACACACAGTCATACTGGGACACCTGGAGCTTACAGCTACTGCAGATCATTTGATAACACCTTGGGTAATCATCATGCTGTCATTTGAACCTGGCTGTTACTATTTTTAACATGAGGTTTCTACTTAATTTTTTGTTCAAGTTCTGAAATTAGACTTGTTCTTTTTGCTTATGGTTGGTTGAGCTCCAGATTCATGGGCAAGAATCAGACATTGGATTTTTTTTTCTTAACACTGCAGCAGGATATAAATCATTTTCCTCCTTAAAAAAAAAAAAAGTAAAATGAGAAACTTTCATTTGGGTTTGTCCTCATTAAAATCTCTCATTATTAAATCTAAACTTGCATGCTGAACTGCTTGATGGCATCCCTGTTGAGGAGGACGATGAGATCTGTGGAGGTGGTATGGCCACGTGCAGAAAGAACTATTTACTGTGACTACTTCTCTTTTTTTTTTTTTTTTCTTGTTAATTTTCAGAGACCTCTCCGGGAACCGCCTCACCACTCTGTCATGGCAACTCTTCCAGACCCTGCGGCTCTTTGAACTGTAAGTCCTGCCCTGGGGGTACTGCCTGGGAGAAGAGGGGAGGCTGAGAGGAGGAATGATATCCAAAGAGAGCTATTTTGAAGCCTGTGAATGATTACCTAAAACTCCAGTGGGCAGCACCATCCTTGGAAGGGTTTCCTGGGTACAGGAGCACCAGAGCAGAACTGCTTCTCTTTTAACTTCACAGCAGCTGGCTAATTAACGTCGGGATGATGAACAAGTCATGCTTGGGGTAGTAAATGGTTGACTAACTCTGGGATCACATTAGAAATACTTACTAGGCCAGATTTTGAGTGAATCTCTTCAAATACTTGCTCTTCATCTGTTGCAGGGTAGGAATAACTGTTTTTCTTTAGTTGGTAGACATGCTTTGTAAGATGCCTGGATTTTTAGACAAATGATTCTCTTGCTCTCTAACAACAGAGGCACCTCCCAGCTCTGATGTGGGAGATGGTGAGATAGTGACTCTCCTGGGGCACTGGTGGCCTTCAGCCTGCTGAATTATTGATAGAGCATTCAGCATCGTGCTTGAAGAAAAAGTGGACACGAAATCAATGGAGCGTTGCCCTGATGACCTGTTTTGTTGAATTTTAGAAATAGTTGTTTGGTGGGTATAAAAAAATATATATGTAGGATTTGTCCCAGAGGATCCTGGGAAGCTCCATTCATCCTCACCAATGATCAATAGAGCTGTAAGCTACAAGTGACTTATGAAAGAATAAAGACAGTCTTTCAAGTGGGAGTAAGTGTGTTATCACCAGTGTTACTGCAGTGTATTTTATTTCTGTCAAATTGTTAAATGAAAAATACTAATAGTGATATTAGAAAATAGCGAAACGCCCTTCTGATGGGAAAATTTGGCTTGCAGAGTTAAAATGCTGAATTTGGAATTTGTCTCCTCACTGATTACAGCTCTAAATATTTTTCAAGTCTGGCTCGGGTTTCAAGTTTAATAGCATGAGTCATTTGTATTCTTAGACCTTTACTTATTGTCATTGTGCTGTCTGGCAAAACTCAGATTGATGGTTGTTACCCAGGAGAGACCCAAGAGTGGAGGAGCAAATGGGGCTGCAGTCCTGAGCTAGTGGCACTGGCAGGGCCTGGGGTAATGGTGAGCCTGCAGATTAATGGGAATATTTCCAGTGGAGCTCATTTTTATGTGCCTTTGCTCCGTTTCCTCATATTTTGTTTCTTCAGGCACATCCCAGGTCTACCAGCCCCCATCAGGTTCAAAAAACCAATACCGAGCAAAAAGGGAATTGAGAAGCTGCTTTTGGGGCAGCAAAGGGTACTTTGCCTGATGAAGTATATACCTGTGTTGTCCTGATATGATGATCCTGGCAGGGAGCTGGCGTGCTTGGGGTGGCTTTGGTTGCTGTCAGCAGGGTCACTTGGGGCCAGCACTCCACAGCAAGGCAAGCGGGAAGGAGCTGAATTACTTGGCTCGCGTTGGAGCTGTGCTCAGAGCTGTTTTCTTGGAGATAACAAGCCCCAATGAACGAAACAATAATGCCTGTAGAACTGTGGGAGATCACAGGGCTGGTTGGTAGGAAGTTGTGATGGGGTGGGAAAGCAACACCAATGTGGTGTTGTCCATAGTGTCCCATAGGGACACTTGGCATAGTGTGGGGCAGGAGGCTCAGCTGAATCTCTGCTGCTCCAAGTTGTGAAAGGGGTCTTGACAAACCACTTCCTGGCACCAGCTTCAGTGAGCAATTTAGACCTACAAATGTGCCTGCCCACAGGGGCTGCCTTGCTGTTGGCTGAGCTGGAGTAAGAGCCTGGTGAACTTTATTTTTCCTGAAGAATTACTTTGTCACTGGTGCTTCCTGACAGATGTTCCTCTCTGAGCTCCTTGTCATCAAGGATCCTCCATCCCTATAAGCACAGCTGAGATGGAGACTACCAGAATAATGTGATGATGCTGTTCCCCAAACGTGACAGGAGAGGGATATTTTACCTGATGTCCACAGGGACCTCAGTGTTTAAGGGGCAGAGGGATGTGCCTGCAGTGTCCTTCCTTGGGCCATGAGACTGTCCTGCTAAACCTTGGATTTGTTGGAAAGAAGGCAGCACAGAGGTGTAGTCTGAGAGGTGTAGCCTGAGCTATGGGCTCTGAATTGATGTTGGGAATTAAGGTAAAGGCATATGTTGTCTACATGGTGGTCACAGTGCTAGAAGGATGGGACCTGCTGGTGAAAAAAAACAATCCTCAAAGATAGTGAGGAATTACTAATGGATGTGCAAAAGTGGGAAATACGGTATTTTTTATTTTTTTTTTTTTTTTAGAAATGCAGAGGATGGGTGAGTAAGAGACAGTTTTTTGGCACACTGAGCTCCAAAGAGGCTTCCAGAACCAGGAAGGAGATAGAATACATGGCCCACATAAAGTGAGTGTGAAACACTGGTGAAAGCTAGAAAAGGAGTTGCAGATTGATATCAACCAAGGACTTGAAGTTGAGCCAAAACTCTCTGGAAAGGGAGAAGGTGGTGAGCAGCAGAGACCAATACAGAGACAGTAAGCCTGAGGAAGGCAGACTGAGCAGCAGTGTTTGTGCACAGCAGTGGAGAGTCTAGAAGACTCCAGGGACACAGAGATGCTGGCAAGAGTCTTCTCTAGAGGGTTAGGGCAGTGTGGAGGGTTGTGGGACAAGCAGATCTGCAGTGGCTCACCAGAAGCACCTTATATTGAGTGTCAGTGCCCCTGTGCTACCAGGCAATTGTGGATCCAGAGGGAGGATAGTCATCAAAGCTAAAACTGTGACTTACAACAAGGCAGCTTGGAGCAGTGGAGCATGTGGTGAGGGAACTGATGGGAGAATTGTCTCCAGGAGAGTGTTGGGAGGAGAGGAGCTACAACTGACTGTGACATGGAGATTGCCAGGGAACATGAGACCTGATAAAGCCACTCAGAGTGAACAGTGAGAAGGAAAGTGTAGAAGACTAATAGGAAGACCAGAGAGGTGGATGGGAACCTGAGGCTTGAAACTGCTGCTTGGCTGCGTCCGAGGTATCACAAGCTCATGAATGTGGTAAGGCTTTAAAGAAAAGTTTCTTGTTCAACATAGCTGAGATTTTCCCCTGCTGACTCATTGAAGAAAGGATGGCAAAAATGAGGCACCCTTCCAGAGAATATTATCTCTTGCTCTTTCTGGCCAGAAACAAGGCTTGGAATGGTTTCCAGTAACTCCAGCCCTAATTCCCACAGCATGGGCTGACCTTGACCAGCAGGGCTCAGGCTAATGAGCACAGAACTCTCCTAAGTCTGAAGTTGAGTGTGTGCAGGGAAGCATCTGACACATGCAACAGCTCATAAACATTGGACTTAGAGCCTTTCTTATCCAGAAGTCACAGCTGGTTTCCTCTGTCATGTCCTTGGCTTCCTTTGTCATGTCCTTAGAGAGCTTAGGGCTGACATTTCAAGAAATTCCTTCCCAGAAAGACCTAAGACTCTGGATCCAATTACGCCTTTGGTTGTATAAAACCTTGTAGTCCTGAACATCTTGCCACTCTGCCTGGCCCATCAGCATTTCTAATACCAACAGTCTCTGCCAGCTTGCCCTGCAGTATATTTCTGCAATGCTACAGGAAGAGGCTTTGGTGGGGATGGGGCACAGCAGCATCTCTGTTAATGTTGTGAGTCCAATTTAGCATTGTCTCTGCCTCTAGCTTAGAAACTTCTTCCTGCCAACAGTCCCACTAATAGAGCTGTAGCTAAACAGTGGGCACTTGCCTGCTCTCTGCATTAACTAATCCAGATGTCAAACACCAACCATCACTCCCTGTCTGAGTCCTTCCCTTTCTATTCTATCCCTTTCTGGCAGGGGTTCGGAAGCAACAGTTCTGGTTGGAACATCAAGAGAAGCCCTGGTTCTGGGAAATAAATAGAAATGAAAAACAAAACTAGATTTTGTTCTCTCTCTACTGAGTGCTCTTTGGTTCTCAAGCTTAGGCAAGTGGCCTCAGTCCCAAGGTAGGAAGTGTTTTAATTGCAAGTGCAAAAAACCTTGGCAGCAGCTCTATGTGAATTGAAACAGACAGGAGAAGTGTGGCAAGGATCTCTGCTGCCCTCTGAGAGGCTTTAGCTGCAGACAGCTTTGCTTTAGCTGATGAGTGGGGAGGCATGGGACAAGGCATGTGTCTCATTTAGCTGCCTAGTCTGGAAAAAAACTGGTCAGTGTGTGTGAAGTTCTGTCTGTTTCCGTACATACTGGAATGCTGATGGCATCTCTCTCCCACACTGGTTCATCCTGGTGTAGGCTGTCCAGGCAGTTTTGGGAGACAGTGGGTACAGCTTTCTGTAGGGAGCAAAGGTGGGCTCAGCCAGGCACCTGTAGGATCACTGTTGCTGAAGAGTTGACTTGGTGCCTATATGGCTCTAGGGTTTCAGCTTTGATGGGTCATTGCCCCATCAAATGACAGTTCAGGGCACGATTGTCACAGTTTTCCTCTTTCCCAAGCACAGTGTGCCTGTTTTGGGAAGGGGCTGTGCCCAGAGCACACCCTACTGAAGCCTTTGCTTTGCCTGGGGCTGGTGGATGGCTCAGGCTTATGTGCAGATTTCATCTCGTTTTGGACCAACTCCTTGAGTCACAGAGCAGCTCTGCTTGTGCAGAGAGAGCCCAGCTTGCTTGTGGCTGTGACACTTGCTATTTCTTACAGGCATTTTCAGTTTTAAGGAGGCTTGAAGAGGATGTGGGAGTGTGCACCACTCCTGAGCACCTACAACCAAGCAAGGCTTTGGCAATAATTGCAGGCTACATGTGAAAAAAAAGCCCTTTGGGTTTATTTGTCTGCTCCAGGAGTAAGTTGTGCTGTATACATCCCATGACAAGGAACCTGCCTTAATTCTCACTGCAGTGCCACTGCACCCATGGGATGGGAGATGTTTCTGCAGCACACGGTGATGTCTTTTGGCCCAATGGTGGGTTTTATTGCCTTGTGGTTCCCAAGGTATTTTTCTCTATGCAGAGAAGAGAAGGTGAATTTTATCTCCACAAACAGAGGGTCGTAGGTAGTGGAGATGTGTTACAGAAATGTGGGAGGAAGAGCTGGAAGGAGCTACAGCTCCTAATGATCCCTGCAAGGGATGAGGTCTGAGGAGAGAATTGGAGATCCAGGTTTTTGAGCAGGTGCAGAACAGTGAGAGAATGGAAATCCCTACACACATCTCTGGAGAGCTGGCTGGCATGGCAGAGCAGGCATCAAGCAAGGAGGGAGGGTGCCTTCCACATGTCAGAAGTGCTTTTGCAATGCATGCTAGGGAAAATGGGTGCACACATCTGTGCCCCTTCTACCTGCGGTGCTGTGCCAGCTGCACTTGGTGCATCCAGCCCGTGATGGGAGTTAATTTGTGCAAAAGCCCCTGTGGGGTCTCGATTAGAGCAAGTTACATCACTAACATTGGGGCAGGTTGTGGGGAAGTTCTGCCCTGAAGCCTGCAGCTCCTGTATTATTCATGGCCGTTCATGAATTAGCAATGGGCTGGGAAAGCTGCTGTCTATTACTTACAGAACTGCCCTTAAGTGCTAGGACAGCAGCTCTCCTGGCAGCCTCGTTTCATGAGGATATTTGCAGCAGAGCAGAATTTCTCCCCCATTGCATCTGAACTCCCCCAGCTCCCTGCCAGGTCCCAGGGTATGTCCCTGGTTACCTGATCTGCCATTAGCCAAGTCCATGGCTCTTACCCACATGCTTGTCCTGCTGGTAGCAGTGATCCTGAAAGGAAAGTGGATTCATGGCTGTGTAGAAGAGGTTGTGAAGCATGTGCAAACCACTGGCAGTACCTGTCATAGCACACAGGGAATGCCTCATCACTCAAATCCCACCAAATCACTGTGCTAATCTGTTCTGGTCTGTTAAATGTAGTGCTTTGGCCTTTGAATTGCTTGTCTGAACCTTGTACCTGTGCCACAGAGGTTTATGTGCTTTTGGTGGGAAAGAAATTAACTGATGAAAAACTGGAGTGAAGTTCAACTCAGTGTTTGTTCTGGGGGAAAAAAAAAAAGTCAGATGACATCTTGATGTATGAGAAGATTAGGGTTCAGTTTTAACAACCCCGGGTACTACCAGAAGATCCCTTCACTTCTTCCTCCTTTTGCAGCACAGTATTGACAAAACAGCAGCTGCAGATGTTTGGAAGGTTGTTTCCAAATCCTGTTACTCGGTGAAATTAATTTTGTAAAAGCAAGCATGAATTTTGCAGTAACACATGGAACAGAGCAGGAAAAAAAGCTTTTTCCTCTCTGATGGGGGATCTAGATATCACGTGAAGCAATGGTTTGACCTTTGGAGATGACCCTTCTTTGGGGTGACTGAGCTCATCTTTGGCACTACTGGCTCCGCTGATCCCTACTTTTTTTACTTTATAGTTATGTGGCGAGATATTTTGTTCCTTCAGGCTGTGTCTCCTATTTTGTTCAAGTTATCATTGCAATCTGCTTTGGTAACTCAGTCTGCCCTGGCTGAACACTGGGCTCTTCTCCTGGCTGGGACTTGCCTTCCTTGCATGTCCACAGAGAGCTGCAGAGCTTTAAAAATGTAAATGAAATGGTTAATAGGTTGGAAAATCAATTATAATAAACATTCCTGGTATATAAACTGTGTGTAAGTGTGGTTTAAATGAAGTACATTAAAGGCAGTGCTTTTCTCCATTTCTCCTGGCCAGGTCAGCAGGGTCTCGGTGCAGTGCTGATTGATTTGATTAAAATGCATGTTACCTTGCACATTAGCTCATGTTCTGGGTCACCAGGAGCCTGTGTCTGTACAAGGAACTTGGGAGAAGAGCTGCCAGCTTCTCTGAGTGCTTGTGGGAGCTGGAGGTGTGCTTTGCCCAGCAGGGGCTTAGACTGCTGCTGAAGTGGGATTTGAAGGTGTGGATCGATATTTTAGGGCAGTGGGGAGTTGCCTGCTCCTTTGCTGAGGGGTGACTCTTCTGGGTGTCTGGATGACTGTGGGACTGAGCCACAGCTGAGCAGATCTTGCAGTGAAAGACATTGTGTGTATCCCTGTGCTGCCGTGGGAGATGTAAAGCCTTGTGTGCCCACATGAAGGAGACTGTGAATGCATGGATGTGTAACTGTGGAAAAGACAGGAATAATAAGTGCCAGAAGACCCCAGGCAAATAACATGGAGACGATTCTACCTTAGCTCTTACACCTGCATGGTGTCTGTCCTCCCATGGGAGCCTGGAGCCAGGCGATGGCTCTACTCATTCTTTCCCATCCCATCATTCTTTCTCACCTCTCTCTACCCACAGGAGACTAGAGAGGAACCTTTTTAACTGCAGCTGTGACATTCGCTGGATCCAGCTCTGGCAGGAGAAGGGCGAGGCAAACCTGCAGCACCAGGGCCTCTACTGCATGACCATGGATGCAGCCATCATCCGTTTGCAGGACATGAACATCACCCAGTGTGGTAAGAATCCTGGGGTTGCACGTGAGGGAGGCTAAGAGGGTGCCAGGAGGGCTCCCTGTGCTATCCAGCACTGCTGGTTCCATTATTTGCTCGGGGAGCCTGGTGTAGCAGAATCCCACCATGTGGTCAAGAACAAGGAGATTGAAGCTGATTGGGGTAGTTTGTGGATTATAAATAGAGTATCTGGGTAAATGTGAGACTGCTATTAGTGTGTGTATGAAAGATATTGGGTGATCTGGGGCGTTTTCTTCACTGCAATGCTGCTGCTTGACAAAGTGTCTGTGGTGAGTCTGTGATGTCTTGAAAAGGGCTGTTTCATGTTGATCTTCCTCTGTCTAACAAATCCTAGAAACAGCATATTGTTAAAAGACACCACCACTGTATCTTTTATAATTACTCTTAGGAAATGCATGTCTCTATTCATTTTCCTTTGTTTTATTTTTCAATTGAAATCCCATATCTGTAGGGAAGAGGCAGGAGTGACTTTATATCTCTTTCTGTTTCCTGCTGATGTTTAAAAGAGTCCAGCGGCCCCAGGAGCAAAATGAAGCATGTTCAGTAGTTATCCCTTTTTCCTTCACCTTGTTCATGCATCAGCTGCCTGTTTGGTGTCAGTTTTTGCTCTGCTATTGCCATTACTGGAAAGCATCTCTTGCAGAGTAAGGAGAAAGAGATGTACCTTCTGCAGAGCGATTAAACTGCCTGTACGCAAGCAGCTGTCAAACTCACAGGCTGAAAAAAGGATGAAAACCAGAGGATTTCTTTTTTTGATGATCATCCTCTATACTAGGAATTTGGGTCTGTTACTTGTAGCAGTAGTAGATAAACAGCATGCACGTTTGGATTTGCATGACTTGGGGTTTTTTGTTGTTTTGGTTTTTTTCAAGTTCATGATGGCCTGTTAAACTCCGGAAACTGGCCAAAGTGTGCCTTCATGTGGATGAACTAAAAAGATTTGAGAGTGCTGTAATTTCCGCCCCACATGGGAAGAATAAGCTTCAGGGATTAGAGATAAAAAAAAAAAAAATCCTTAGGGAACAGGGACATGAGGAGAGGTGGCTCCATCAGTGGTGGTATTAGACTCTAGGAGATTCTAGCAGGAGGCTGATTTGGGAACACAAATGTGCTTGCGTCCAGTATGAGCACCTCCTCTGACCATACAATCTCCTGGAAGGGCAGAGAGCTGCACTGGTCTGCTTTCCTCCAGAGGAGAGTCTTTCTGTTCAAGCATTAAGACTCAGGGGATATTGTAACAATATTTGTCTTTTGGTGCTGAGGGCTGGTGTGGCTTGATGTGGCCATGTTTGATACCAGCTCAACCTTGAGAAGACCATACATGTCCCTCCCATCTCCCTCTCCACTGATTCCTACCACATATGCAACTTTGCCAGGCCTTGACCACTGCCTCCTTTCTTCTGGCATCCCCCCAATCAGTGCAATGTTCCTTCCCTCCTTTTGTGACTCCCTGATGGCAACAAAAGAATATGTGTCCCCATCTATGGCTTTGCGTTCTTGTGATGGATACTCCTGCCCTATGATGGGAGGGGACCACTGGTCAGTTCCTTCTGCCCTGCCTCCCCAGTTTGCCTCTGAAAACATCCCAGAAAACCTCCCCTATGCAAGAAGGCTATTTGCCCTTCTTGCAACCTGTGCTGTCTTGTTTCATGTTGCAAGGATATTTGGTGCCTGTGGCAGTAAGGAAGTGGTGTAAATCAGAACTGCCATAAATCAGTGAATCCCTCTGCTACCACCAAGGAAGAGCAAGGGCACCTTTTACTAGGAGAGCTGCAGTTAATATGAGGACACATCCTTGGTCATCTTCTCTTGATTGTTATAAATTAGAGGGACACTTTCCTCACCTGGAGTGCTGGGTGCCCTGTGCCTTATCCTGGATATGGGAATGCTTTGGATCTTCTCGCAGTACAGTTTTCTAATCCCAGGTTACTGCCACTGTGAGCAGCTTCTGTGGGAGTAGAGAGATGGGGATGGGGGTTGTGTGAAGGGAAGGGTGGCCAGAACTGGGCACTAACTTTTGGATTCAAAGATGATCAGGGGGTCTGCTCAGCTGGCACATTTCCAGTATCTACATTTCACCCTGTGTCCAACATCCCTCTTTCCCTCGGTAGCACAAGGCCATGCTGTTACCTCCTGCTACTTATCCCAGGGTGCTGGAGGCTGATTTGGGAAACAGCTTGGTGGGATCTGAGTCCACACGAGTGTTCTGTGTCTGGCTATAGCAAACGCTGCACCACACCTGAGCACTTTGGTATTTGGCTCCTCTAGACCTTCCTGAGATCAGCGTGAGCCACGTGAACCTGACGGTGCGGGAAGGTGAGAACGCCGTCATCACCTGTAACGGCTCGGGATCGCCGCTGCCGGACGTCGACTGGACGGTGGCCGAACTCCACTCCATCAACACCCACCAGGTAGGGGCCACAGGACCTCAGTGCTGCCTGTGCCCTGTGTGGCAGGGGCAAAGCAGCTGCCAGGGTTTCCCCGGGTCTGTGTGTGCGGGGCAGAGGATTTGGGTAGATGGTAGAGACTGCTGTGAAAAATGTGAAATGGTTGTATCAACCATTACTTTCCCCCATGAGAACCTGGGGGCTAACAGAAGGGAGCAAAACCTTCCATGTCTGGAAAGGGAAGAGGAAAGAGCTTTGTATTTCAGTGATCCCTAATTGAATTAACTCATGTCTGCTCTAATGAAACCAACTGTTTGCAGAGGTGCCTGCAATAGCTGTGGCTGAATTAGGCAGCTAAGCAAGATTTTCTAGAGGCAAAACACATTTATCAGTGCTACAGTGCCATGGCTCTCCCCTTCCTGTAGTTCCTCTTATAGGATGTGATGTGTTTAATCAGGTGACGGAACACCTCCCTTCACACAGATCCTAGTTGTCCTTGGGTTTTTGAGACCTCCTCACATCTTGCATGGAAAGCGTGATCCTCTTCTTCTGGGGGTCGTAGCAGGGAAGCAAGGATCCACCAGACACCAACTTCTGTCTGTATTTCTCTTTATGATTTTTAGACCAACCTCAACTGGACCAATGTTCATGCCATCAATTTGACCTTGGTGAACGTCACCAGTGAGGACAACGGGTTCCTGCTCACCTGCATTGCTGAGAACGTGGTGGGGATGAGCAATGCCAGTGTGCTGCTCACTGTCTACTGTAAGTACCACTGGAGAGACCTTGTCCATACAGAGGCTGGAGGGGCTGCCTTGGGAATATTTGACTGCGTGGCTACTTGCTACCTGTGACATACTGGGTTCGTGAGTGAGGATTAGGAGGAGCTGAGAACAGTGAGGAGAAGGTGGATCCTCACACACCTCTCTCTCAAGTGTCAGTAATTTTACTTCCCTGATGCTTCCATTAATCCAGAAATGAGCACTAGAGCAGGGGAAGAGCACCAGTACCCCACTGGTGGTGGGCATCTCTCCACTCATCTCTTGGAAGATCCAGTAGAATAAGAAAAAGCCATAAAGGGACTAAAAATCTATTTACAAATACAGAGTTGATTGCCCTGATGCTATGTGAGAGGTTCAGTGACACCCTTGTTAAAGACAGTTTAAATCTTGCCACTGATTTCAGGGATATTAGTGCTTCCCCCAGGTCCATTCCTTCAAAGTTGGCCTGCAAATGCCACGTAAATGTGTGCATGTAAAATTTCAACTGTTCACTTTTATCTGCAAGTAGCTCAACTTTCTTTGTGCTTTCTAATATAACATAACACAAACCTGACCTTAAGAGGAAGTTTACACAGCTTTGTGGTCTCAAGCAGCTGAGATTTACTATATTTTGCTGTGTCTGTAATATTTGCCCTTACTCTGTAGTTTGAAAATCTGTCCCCCACCCCCAACCTTACCAGGTAGAGTGGAGACCCATGTGGGATTTCGAGTAGTCTTGGTGAACCCATGCATGTTGCATGATGCTTTACTACTTTGATCTTCCTCCCAGTAAGTGCTATTGATGGATTGAGTAATGGAGGTGATTAAAGCTCAGCTCAGAGGTGACTGGTCAGCAGGCGCAGGTTTTTTGCGCGATGTTTCAGCATCTTTTCCTCCATGCCTTAAACAGCACCATGCCCATGCCTATTTTCACCTGTGAAATCCTCTAAGCTGCTGACAGTTTCTGCTACCCCTGCTCTTGTTGCCCAGACCCATCACTCAAGGCTGTAATTTCACACTGAAAAGATCTGAGTTTGTGCGTGTAGGTGGCTGCCTGTTTTGAATCCTCTTTGCCAGGAAGATGTGAACAAGCCACATGCAGATCTAGGCTTGCGAGTGAAAGAAGGTGGCTGGGACATGACTGTGTGGTTCAGGGTAGATGGGTGCTGGTGGGAGAATTTTGTTCATCTCCAACCAGCTCTGCATCTTCTTTTCTTCTACAACATTCATTACCTGAAAAACTCAGAGTTTTTTCCAAAAAATGTGTCTAAGCTGGTGTGTTGTTTTTCTTCATTGTGGATGCCCCATGGATTGTCTTTGCAGCTGGATGGTACCAGGAAAAGGAGAGTTTTAGGGAAGACTTATATCTTTGTGTCCTTTATCTTTGCACAAAACTTGTTCTTCTGGTTCAGACCTTGCCAGCCTTGAGGTTTGGGACCTTACATGTAGGCGTTGTAAATGGGGTTTCAGAAGCGATAGCAGAGCAACATTTGAATTCTTGGGGTGTCCCAGGGGGAAGACAATGCATATGCAATAAATTGCAGGTGGAGTTGCTGCTTTTCTTATCCCTCTCCCACTCTACTCCCTTTAATTAAACACCCCTGGAGGCTGTTCGGTGAGTGAGAACTCCTTTGGGATGTTCAGGCAGTCAAAACCCCCAAGGACAGGCGGTCGCTGAGGGATGTTTGCTTCCACAGCAGTGCAATCCAAAATTGCTTGGTGTGACTGGAGAGCTCCCATGGGGACCTTGCAGTTGTGTAATGTAACAGTACTACATTGTGGTGTCCTCCTTAATGGGAACAGGCGGCCTCCCTGTGATCCCCTGGGAGGAGAAGAGCAGCAGTAAGTGTGTGGACTGGATAGCTCCAAGCTTAGTTGTTCCTGGGCTGGTGAAAGGACCATCCTTGCCGTTAATCTGTACCCCTGTTCAGAAGACCAGGAGAGATGGCTCTGGCTCAGATCCTCCTTTCAGGGAGTGTGGAGTGGTTCTTGTGACAGGGCTCCTTCTTTGCAGACACCCATTGGGAAGAGTAGAAGGAACGAGGGATTTTGGAAACCTTAGTTTCCGTGGTGCATAGAGACATGACGTGGGGTGGAGGTGTGCTGTGAGCCTGCCATGTTTCTCTCTGCTAGATCCCCCTCGCATCCTTACTCTGGAGGAGCCGGTGCGACACCTGGACCACTGCATTGCGTTTGCAGTGCAAGGGAACCCAGTTCCCACCCTTCACTGGCTGCACAACGGCCAGGTGCTCCGGGAGACAGAGATCATCCGTGTGGAGTTATACCAGCAAGGGGAAGTGTCTGAGGGTTGCCTGCTCTTCGACAACCCCACTCACTACAACAATGGCAACTACACGATTGTGGCCACCAACCAGCTGGGCTCAGCCAACCAAACTATCAAAGGACACTTCCTTGAAAAACCCTTTCCAGGTAGGATATTCAGTTTATGTCATTAGGGTTCCTTGCAATCTGAAGGTTTTACTGTGGCCCTGACAGTAATCCTTGCATCTAAACAAGGCCTTAACCCAAGCTGGCCTTTGTTAGAGCATCAGGTTGGAAGAGGTGAACTCTGGAAGCCTCTTCTGACTAGTGTGATTTTCCTGCTCAAGTATATTTTGGTGTCATATCAACTCTTTAATGCTGGGAGAGATACTGACTGGTTTAGATAAATTTGTTTTTGTAATATATTCTGCAGTGTATTTATTTATTTATTTATTTTAAAGATCTTTAGGAATTTCAGTGGGAATAGGATGTAAGTTTGGCCAGTTATTTTGGATGTCCTCTTGGGTGTCCCAAAGAGGTTGCTCAAGTTTTTTGAAAGTATTCTGCTACATGATAGTTATAAGGTATAGAAAGTAAAGCCCTTTGAAGTGATGCAGCTCTTCCATTTTTTTACTTCTAGCTTGCATTTGTGAAATGATTAAAGCTGGATGTAGCAGTGTCAGGATTGTTTTCTTTCTGAATGCGGTATGTGCAATTCCAGGATGACAGGTCTACAAAAGATGCAACGGCTCAATTAGTCACTTTGCATCAGTTTGCTGGCATTTCTTAACTGATTGCTTGGAATTCCCTGTTGTACTTCCTGGTGACTCAGAGCTTAGCTGCAAAAAAAAAAAAATAAAAAAAATAAAAAGCATTTGAGGACATAAAGATCCAGCTCTTGGGAGTGCAGCAGAGACTTCTGTGGTGGCCTGTCTGCTTTTTATAGGAGTGTCTTGGTCTGCTCTCTGATGTTGCAATGCCACACTGGCCATCATGGAGTTAAGATCTGTGCTGCCTTCAGGAATGATGCCATGAGAAAGTGGCAGCTCTAAATTGGCCCCTGCAGCCCAAGAAAATCCAGCAAAATAGGGCGTTTGCTAAATATAGAAAAATACCAACGGTACTCTCATTTATTATTTATATCACACCATATATGTACACAGAGTTTTCCCGCAGGTCAAATATCATAAATGCAAACCCAAATCTCTGCCTTGAAGATCTGACAATTGAACAAATGAGCTGATATGGATGGGAGTGGAAAATTTGTATTCTGACTTCAAGGATGCTGCCCTGTTTGAATATCTGACCTATTTATGTTTCCTTCTGTCAGGGCAGAAGAGCAGCTTATCAAATGTAGGTGGGTGAGGAGAAGCAGACAGGTTTGCAGTCTCAGCTCTCTCAGGTCCCACCTTTGTGACTCAATTTCCCCATCTGTAAAATGGGAACAGCTCTTAAGTAGATGCTGGATATCCAGAAAAGAGAGGCAGATATGCTGTTCTGGAGAGCTGATTTTGGAAATGGATCTGAGCTATGCTGTGATGTGGGAAACCACAGTGATGTTTGAAGACCATCTCATGCTAGGGGCTCTGGGAGAATGGGATTATGTGAAATGAATGTAAAATACTGCTCTTGTGAGTGCATCTTCACCCATGCCTTGTGTGTACTGTTGGTGTGGAGTGCTTACTGCCCCTGAACCGTCTCTCAGCAGGAGCTGACCCATTTCTTTTATTTCTTCTGATCCAAAGTCCCAAGCCATTCCTCACCCTGGCAGCCCCTGTCAGCACAATGCAGGATGTAATTTACTTTCCTTGAAGCTTGTTGCTTTGTCCACTACCACAGCTGACATATACACTCAATGCAGTTGACGTTTATAATTTCCCATTTGAAGGTAGATTCCTTCAGAAAATGCCACACATTGAAGGTTCCCCAGTGTGATTCACTGAAGCCCTCATTGCCCACGGCAATTCTAATGTGCAAGGACTTTGTTGTCAGTACCCAGGATAAGGTTATTAGTCTTAATTAATTAATGAAAGTGTAGTGCCTGGAAGACTTTCTATCAGCATAGAAAATGATCTGTGACCACGTATTTTAGAACCCCCTAGTTGAAAACCTCTTGCTGGTACCATGCCACACTGAAGTTTTCCAGGCCAAGAGGAGCAAGGTACTGTTAGAAGCTGGGTGGAAGCTGGGAGATATATGCTGCATGTCATATCCCCCTTCTCTCTGATGTTGGGTATGTAGGAGAAAGGGCAGTGGCTCCCAGAACAGATTTGTGTCATATCCTGTAAAAATCTTGTTGCATGTTGTCATTGGTATCTCTGCCATAGGCTACCATCTCCCTATTTAATCCACAAAGGTCAGTGTACCTGTGATGAGTGTTCAGTACTTTGGGAACTTCCCACAGAACTCAAGCTGGCTGAAGTTTCTTGGTTATTTTTTTATACTTTGAAAAATAGTGTTTACTGGAAAAAAAGACCAAAGAAACCCTTTTTGTGGATTTCTGTTGAATTTGCTTAGTCCAAGAGAGGAAAAAATGGAAAGAAGAAAATGTAGAAGTAGCAAGAATTTTATGACTAGACTCTGTCTGCCTTAATAGGAAAAAAAGGTCTCCAAATAAAATATTTCTTCCTTTTTTTTTTCCCCCCTCTTGCTAGAAAAAGCCAAGGAAAGTTACACTTCTGCTCAACTTGAAACAAAAATATTTTTCAGGTTTTTTCCCTTGGTTTGGAAAGCTGTGTTTGTCACCCAAGGATTGTTTTATGCTTCCCTTCCAAAACTCACCCAATGCTTCAGCATGAACATTTCAGCATCCTTGCAGGAGCCCTCTGCCAGCAAAGCTGTGTAAACTCCAGTTAATATCGGGCTCAGTTTCTTACACGGGCGAGTGAATTGAAAGCTGACGTTATTCTCACACTGTGTAAACTGAGTGTCACCGAGGACTTTAGACCTTATTGTCTGGGGCCTTGACCACCTTTGGAGCTGAAGGAGCTTTCCTGAATAGACTGGAGCAGTCAAGAGGCTGACAGCAGGGACTGGCATGGTTGTCTCGGGCAAGAGGCATCTCTAGGACAGCCACAGCTTCCTTGTCCCGTTCAGATGCTGTTAGCTGCTATGAACAGTTCATGAAAAGGAGGTCAGAGGACGTCTCCTCTAAACCCCTGCCCCAAGCTGGGCTCTCCTCCATGGGAGTTGATCCTTGTAGGACTTTGTCCTTGGGTGAACACTGCCATGTAAGGCAAAATCTGCTTCTCTCCCCTCCACCTCCATCCTGCCCAGCCCTGTGTGTCTGTTGAGCTTTGCTCGCCTGCTGAAAGCAGGGTTGTTTAACAGTCGTTCAAAAGAGTGGTTAGTGTGCTGCCACTTGTTCTCCTTGTTGGCCTCACAGTAGTATCCTTCCCCTGCTCTTTCAGCCCAGGGCTTTCCATCCTGACCTCCAGCATGTCCTGCTGGCACGTACACTGCAGTTTCAAGTTACAGTTGCCCAAGAGGAAAAAATACGAAAAGTTGGTTTCCTGGGCTCTTTGGGGTGGTGAAATGTGTCTGAGATGGGTTGGGAATGAGACCCCTCTCCTTTTGCTGTGCTGCTGACTGTGTTGCTTCTCTCTTTGTCCTTTTCACAGAGAGTACAGACAACTTTGTCTCAAGTAAGTGTCTCCTTACCTTTTACATACTGTGGCTGGTTTGTTTCTGTGGTTTTCTCCTGCTCCTCTGTGATTTACATATTCCTGGAGGAAAAATCAGGAAGCCAGAAGCAGTTTCGTGGAGGTTGCACAAAGCCCTGCCTTCCCCATGAATGAGCAAGGTGTCTGGGGAGCTTTTGATGAACTGAGTCATCTCTAGAGACCAGGAGATGTTAATTTCCATCTAGTAATGTCCTGAAGAAGGTCCTGTAAAGGAAATGGTGGTTGGTTGTGATGTAGCAAAGGGGGTCTTAACTAGATGCAGGCTGGCCAGTCCCCAGTGACATCTTTCTAGGGTGGACTGGGACGAGAAACAGGAATCAAATTCTGTAGTGTTTCCACAAGACATCCTTCCCACATCTCCCCAAAAAAAACAACCCCAAAAAAATTCCAAAAAAGCATCCAAGTTACTGTTTCTTCTGATCAAGTTCTGCTGAAGGCACTTGTGTTTTAATCCTACTTAGCCCAGTAGATATTTGAAAACTAGGAGATGGCTCAAGAGTGGAGGGTACCCACTCTGAAACACAAGGCTCCCACATGTTTCCCATTTGTAAGTCTGGAGTGACATCAGCATAGTGCTGGTCTGTGTTTTCTCTGCTGATGTGCACAAGGAACTCGCTCATGGTTGATTTGTGCCTTCTGAAATAGAAAGCTGCAGCCTCTTTTAGGGGTGAACTGGATCTCGTTAGTTTGGGCCATTGGAATGTGCTGGGTGCCTTGGGAGTCCACTGGGAGCCACACTGAATCTTCTGTCTTTGGTGTTTTGGTTTCAGTCGGGGATTATGAAGTGAGTCCCACCCCACCGATCACTGTGACCCACAAACCAGAAGAGGACACTTTTGGGGTGAGTCCTGGTCTCTGCTCTGCAGAACTGTTTTGCATGCATTCCTTGTAATTGATGACTCAATATTTGTACTCCTCTGCTGTTTTGAGTGTTTGCAAGGAAAATCTCCTCCTTTATGACTCAAGGCAGCAATCAGAAGGATTCTGTGGCTTGTGTGTCAGACAGGTAAAATACTGACATGAACCATCTGATCCTCTTGGGTCTGCAGTTGGGACCTGGGAGCTCTTTGAAAACAAGGCATCCTATGAAGTCGCTGCTGGCAGGGTCAGAAATTCTCACTCTAAAAAAGTAGCACCCAGAGAACAAACAAACAGGCAATCATGTGTTTCACACTGTTATTGATCTGTTAAGTTTTGCAGGGTGATGGACTCAAATTTAGCTTGGTTCAGTTCTGTCAATGCCTGTTTGCCCTCCCTCCTGCTGTGCAGGGCATGCCTAAAATGAAAAAGGAAAGAAAGCCTAGGGCTTATCAGATCTGAACAGTGTCTTTCTTCTGCAGAATCCAGGTAGAAAAAGAAAAATTAGCATGTTACACAATTGTTCTAATTATGTGAAAGTTTTAAGATACTGAAACCCACCAGAACAAACAAAACTCAGTCCACAGTGGTTTCAATTCTCATCCAGCTGAAGAGAAAGCTTTGAACAGTAAGGCTGGAGTAATAATGTGCACTGATTATTAAATATAAAACACAGAAAACAAGCTGGGGATGAAAATAGAGTGTGCTAAAATAAAAATTTAAAAATATCATAACAAATGTACCGAGAACGGGGAAAGGGTTGCAAAATGAAATTACTTTTTCTTGGTTAAATGATGTATTTTCTATTATAGCAGAATGCAGTTTTGTAAAAGGAAGCAAAGTCTAAATGCATCACAAGACCCAGTACAGAACAATTGGACAAATGCCAGAGAAATTGTTGTTTATATCAATGCAATAAAAGTATCTTGAGCAAAGACTTGAAGGAATAAATATTCATAAATATTAAAATAAGCCTGGGATTGTAAACCCTTTAGGGCAAGGAGGTTTTCTTTCCTCTGCTTGCACACTGCCACAGTGGAATCGCAGTTCCAGGGAAGGACTTGGACAATGCTGTAGTATCAATATTTACTACTAAAAATTACAATAAATAGGGAACCATTAGAGGCTTTTGGAAACCCAGATGTTTTAGGGGGAAAAAAACTCAGTTCTACTTAATTTTTTCTATTTTCTTTCTGTGGTATGTTATTTTTCCTCACTCTTTGTCCTGAAGGACGTTTGGATGGAGACAGAATTACTCTTTCTAAAGAATTTTCTGCTGCTCCTGTGTGTTCCCAGCTGAGGTTTGTATAGCTTTGGTGTTGTAAGGTCATGGCACAGTGCTGATGTCAGAAACGGAGGTGAGCGCAGGCATTGGAGCAGAGATCCTTCTTCCCTGCAGATATATGGATGGAGGGTCTGGGGAGAACTGCTGCCGAACAGTGTCACTGATGGGAAGATCCCAGACCTCCCAGTCCTGAAAACAGCCTGTGATCCTTCCAAGCTGTGCCAGAGCCCTCTGGTTTAGCTTGTATTTTCCTCCATAGCTGATATCCACAGAGCTGCAGCAGATGGTATGAGCCTACAGAAAGGTTAAGTGGGCAAGGAGGTGCTGTATTTCCAGTTTAGACTCCTAAATTCCTCTCTCTTGACTCTAAGGCTTTTTCCTTCCAGGTTTCCATAGCGGTTGGGCTGGCAGCTTTTGCTTGTGTCCTCTTGGTCGTCCTCTTTATTATGATCAACAAGTATGGCCGGCGGTCCAAGTTTGGGATGAAAGGTAGGTGCAGTCACTTTCCTCTAGCAGGAGGCACCTTCCAGGATTGCCCGGCTCTTATAGCACACGTGGAAAGGTGTTGTGGTTTCATTCCTACATTGCCCATGCTGGTGCAAAGCCTCCTAAACAGAACGTAGCCCTCTTCAGTTTGTTGAGAGAGTGACGGAGATAAGCGGGCTGGCAGTTCTCACCTGTATGTGCTTCTGCGGGCAGAAGTGTGCACGTGTGTTCCTTATCAGTACATAACTGCATCTACAGGCTGCCCAGAAGAGCTTTGAGCCTGCTCACTCCAGCCACGTGTTGAGAGAGTTGTACTCAGGGCAGCATGCTCTTGGATGAAACCTGTTTTGTGGACGTGGTGGTGCATGGGCTTCCCCTGCGCTGGCTCCAGAGCACAGTGTGTGAAGGGGGGACAGAAGGATATGAAATTGTTCTGGGTTCTGTTGAAAAGGCAAGTGCATCCACTCTGTGACTGTCTGTGAGTGGGGACAGAGACACTGCTGTCAGTTTGCAATGTCCATACTGGGAAGGCAGTGGTGTGGAAGGTCTCTTTCTGCTGCCTCTCTGATGAAAGGTTTCCTTCTCTGTGTTGTGAATAATGACTTCAAAAACTTATTCAAGTGTCCTTGATAGTGACTGGAAAGTGAGAAGGCATCTGATATTTGCCAGGCAGAACTGGTCTCTCCATCCTACCGACACCAGCTCTGTGATGTGACAGAGCTAATGCCAGAACTGGATGATTCTGTGCCATCTGCTTTCTGTGACTCTGCTGGTATCTCCAGTTGGGCAGCGTTGGTGGTGCCCAGTGAAGGCTGGAGGAAGAGCCTTCACATGACAAAGTAATTCCCAGCCTAATTGGTGGCTCATGCGTACACTGTTCGAAGCCAGGCTTTGACAAACATGAGCTTCTCCCAAGGCTCCCGAGTCAGAGCCTGTTTCCTGCCCTTGCTGTAGTCTGCGCTGCAGGGCAGGTTGGTAGGTTTGGGAATGTTCCTTGTGCTTGCCCAGGGCTTTGTTTGCTTTATGTAGACATTTCCTGAGTGGCTCCAGATGGGATTCTGGCTGGAGTTTCTCCTATGCATCCTATGGAGATAGAAGACAGGACATTTAATTAAGTAGTGAATCCTCTACACCAATTTAGCAATATTTAGTCCATATGTCCAATGATAAGAACCATCTGGTGGGGTGTACTGACTAGTGGGTGGAGTAGAGGAGTGGAAGACATGGTTCCTGGGATCAATTCCCAGCTCTTCTACTGACTCAGTGTCCATAGGCAATTAGCTCTCTTAACCTCTGTCTCTGCTTTAATTTCCCCATCTGTAAAACTGGGATGATGTTACGTGCCTTCTGGAGGGATTTGTCAGAACACTTTGGAAGTGCTTAGGCCACTGATGGAGCTTAGAGAGACAAATATAAAAAGGAAAAGTAACATCTGACCCTAATGGAAGAATCAAAGAGGAGTGAAGTGAGCCTGATGTGAGTAATGAGTCTTGGTGAACAGATGTGTGTATGTGTTTAGAGGTGTTTGGATAAGCATGTCAGTGGATATTTTGCATTCCCAGAAACCAGAGGGGTGCTGTGATGGGCCCTTGTGTGTATGATTTCTGGGAGGCAAAATTGTTTAACCAGAAAAGCCTGCTTTTCTCCTCATTATTTGGTGTTTCTTCCAATTCTGATATGAAACCACAACCTTGCAAAGTTTCTACAAGTTTTATTGACATTGCTTGGAGAGATGGCGTTGACAGAAGCTAAATGCATCTTTAAAAAAGAGGGAGATAACTCTTTAATGAGTTACAAATGTCATAGGCACCACCACGAACAGCCTACTCACACTACCCAAACTCTGCTCCCTGTTGGAAGTTGAGAATGCTCGAGCCCTGTGGACAGTCTCCCTAGCACATGATCTTACTTACTCTGAGCCTCCTGTTTTCCCCCAGCATCTCTTCTACCTTCACTATTTTCTTTAGCCCTAACATCATTGTCAGCTGCTATATCGCCAGGCTTTGCCTGTGTCTCCTTTTTTACATCAGGCTTTCCTCAGAGTCCCTCATTATCAGTCAGTTCTTGGGCAGGAGCTGTCCTTTATGGCAACCAGCATGTTATCATTTACTAAGGAGAAAAAAAAAAAAATCCAGACCCTGAGTCTTTTTGGGAAAGTGCATCATTGCCTGATTCAGGAGCTGTTCACCGCCAGCTGATATGTTGCCACTTGTTGTTGAAATCCCAGCTTGGCAGGCCTGCAGGAGCAGGTTTTTCCTGTTGCTTTTTGTCACGGATGCAGAACACTGTGTACTCGTGTTGGACACGTTACCCACAGCACCTCATGAGTCTTTCTGAGAACATCTTTTTCCTTCTGTTTTCTCCTAGTGTTAAGCAGATGGTTTATTTCCTAGAGAGAAGTGAACTTGGACTGACAAGGTTGGATGTCACGTTGAGTTGGGAAGGCCCCTTGGGCTAGCCTGCTGGGTTGCCCACCAGCCTTAGAACCAGACTAATGGGCTGCCAAGTGTCCAACATCCCAGTTGCCTTTGCTGTAAAGAAAGTTGTTGTGTCTTGAGGCACAACAACTGGGGGAGGACTATGAGAGGACGGTGTGTCCATATTTGTCCTCTTCTGCCTGGTAGCACACCCTCAAAATGTTGCACCAGAGACCTGTCAGAGCCACCGCTCTGCCTACGACCCAGTTACTGATCCAGCAGTGGCCAAGCGGTGGGAAAGCCTGCGGTGCCAAGTGTGCCGACGACGGGCTGGAGCGGTGGCACCAACAAAAGCTCCTTTGAAAGGGGCTCTGACGCGCTGTGCTCCTCAGCTGAGCCTGCGGAGGCTGGCTCTGCGCCACCCTCCTCGCCTTCCCCTGCTCCCCCCGGAGAGGGCATTCATTAACACGGAACGGCGGAGGTCAGATCCCCTCTCTGGCTGCCTGTTGGCTTTGGCTCCCGTAGCTGGGAGGGAACGGGGGTGGGCTGAGGCAGCTGGGGGGAGCTGGGAGATGGCTGGAGCTGGGCTGGTGGAGGCGGCAGGGAAATGGCAAACAAAGCTCCTTTTTGTGAAAAGTGGTGTTACATGGGCAACATAGAGGCAGTGGAGGGAAAACCACTGGGAAAAGTGAACGTTAAAACTGAGACACATTGAAGTTGCAGAAATGGACTGCAGCCGCTTGCTGAAGGGTGAGGTATTCTGAAGGGGGGATGAGATGCTTTTTAAAGCCTTTTATTATTGTAGGAAAAAGAAAAGGGTATTGCCAAACAAGAAATTGGGAGTCGGAATCCTTTGGTTTACTGCGTGTCTCAGGGGAATATTTTTTTTTTCTGGTGGGTTATACTGCAGGAGTAAGGAGCCTGAAATCCTGCTCTCAGTTGCTGCTTGCTCCAACTCTAGTCTCGGTGTCCCACGTTCCCTGACTGCCCACCCAACGTGAAGGGATTTACAACTCACCTTCTAGGGTCAGGCTTGTCACTACAAGTCTTGTAAACTGTGTCTTCCAATCAAAGTTTAATCCCAGCAGATGACAGGAAATGAAATTTTGTGATATAATAAAAAAGCCACATGCAAGTCCCGGGACTAACAAAAATTAGATTTCATAAAAGAACAACAATGGCACAGAAAAATTCTGTGACATACAGAACATTTGGATGGCACAGCTATGGAGGCAGTGTAAATGCTGAGGTTGAGGGGCTCAATATATTCTCCTTTTACTTGTTTTCTGTTATATTTGCAAGTGCCTCGGGATAAAGAACGTGTGCTCGTGCATATATGTGTGATGTATTCCTGCTGCTGCACAACTTCAATAAAAAACAAATTGAGTTAGCTGAGATATGCAGAGAAAGGTGCTAGAGAAAATCCAGAGACAAGAGCACTTGTCGTTTTGTTGAGATGAACTGCTTTCCAGGCTCTGAGATTAAAAACTACTTGCATTCTCCAAAAGAGGTTTTCTTCCTCGGGTGGAGCCAGCACCAGCTAATGGTTCAGACTTGGTTACAGCTGGCAAAGGGTCAATTGATTTTTAATCTGATTTCCTAAAGAAATAAGGCATGTGATTATGCTGCCTCTTTGCGCACATGCAGGCATGTGTGTACAGCTCTACCTGCCTGGATTTTCCCTCTTTGTGCTGCAGCTTTTGGATCTGTGTTTCAGCCAGAGGGGAGGAAAGAGAATTGGAGATGCCTTTTCAGGCATCATGGAAATAAGGGAGCTAAACAGAATGACAACTCAGGTGATGCTGCACCAACAAAAGTGCCTTAAGCCTCTCTGGGCATCAGAGAATTCATATGGAATTTCTGCCTTGGACAGAAAAACAAAACACAGGGGATAAAGCTTTCATGGGGTCTGCTGTGGTGGGTACTGTGTACATCTGTACACATTTATATATTTATGTTTTGTTTCTGAATAGGCACAAACAGCAAGGAGGTGGGGGAGAAATGAACGAACAGTAAATAAACACTGCCCATGATTTCTGTAATGTTTGAGAAATCACATCGCTATCAGTTCATTTGATATTTGCTCTAACAGCCCTGATCAAAGTGCTGGCACTGCTGATGTGCCTGTGGATTTCAGAAGTACTTGCAGAGCTGTTCCATTGTAATTTAGTGTTAGTTAAAAAGTACTTAAAGCAGTTGCCCATTTGATTTTGATTGGGGGTTATTAACATTTTTTTCCATAAACAGATGGCAACTGTCCGCTGAGTCGATTGCAGAACAATTCCAGAGTTCTGATTCAAGAGGACCAACTCATGCAAAGATATCTTGGGTGCCTGTCTTTTTGCTTTTGCTGATTTGTTTTTTGTTTTGTTTTGTTTTTTCTCCTTCATCATGCAATTATCACTCCAGCTTTAAGGGGCAAAAAATAATATATGGGAGCCCTGACCTGCTTTCGGATGAGGCTTAATTCTGTCCTATGTTGCCTTGGCTAAACTTGGCTATAATCATACACTGATTTTATTTCCCCCCCAATTATTTGTTTGCAGTTTTATGGGCGTGAACAAACCCCTCTGCAAGTTGGAGAAC